GGAAGCAAGGAAGGAAGCAAGGAAGGAAGCAAGGAAGGAAGGAAGCAAGGAAGACAGGAAGAAGGAAGACAAAAAAAAGAGAAAAGAAATCAAAGTCGACTTACTTCTGAAACATTAAAGAGATTCTTGACTCTAATCTCCTTTCTGTCTGGTATTTGCATAATGGTTACTCTAGCTGGTGTGTCCTTGTCTTCTGGCGTCCAGTACGCAATGTAATTATCAGAAGGAGACCATTGGAAATCCCTGAAAAACCACAACCAAACTGATACAACTTCTTGCAAAAAAACAATGAAATTTTTTATTGAAAAACAAAATGGAAAGGAATCAGAATTATTCTTCCATGTTCTCAGCACTAAACATCAGTAGCAGAACTGGCTTTGGAATATTTCATCATTTCCTCGTTTAAATCAGAGCTTATTTGTTCGCATCCTGATTTATTTATTTTTCTTGGTATCTATCTATCTCATTGCTATCTATCTCAATGATATTGTAAATTTTTTTATTTATTGTTTTTGACTTCAGGATTTTTATGTAAGAGCATCGAGTTCTAATAATGCTTAGGAACTATTATCATTTATTTATTATCATGAAATGAGAAAAGAAAGAAAATTTACTACTCTTCTCAATATGTCTTGATATCAATATTACCAGGATCCTCTTTGTATTCCTTTTCTTCTTCAAATGTTCAAACTTCTTTGGTAGTCACAAAATGATGTTGAACAATGAAAGCAACTACGAAAAGGATCCTAGTAGTATTGGTAAGACTTAATAAGGGGAACAGAAAAATTAATACACCTTTCCTAAAGTCACTCGAATGGCAACAAAGCAATGGCTCCAAGTAATGGTTGAACTAGATGTGTTTTTATACATTTACTGCATTCATCAAGTCCAACCACAGCTTGGAACCATTTGGTGACTTACACAATTTCAGGAATGGTGTATTGGACAGCCATTTTGCAGATATAGAATGGAGAGAAAATAAGAAAAAAACTTACTTGACACCTTCTACCTTGAGACTTTTTTTGTCTATCAATCCAAAAGACTAAAACAAGAATGAAATTATTAAGTAAGAAATAATAATTTTTTTTTACAAAAAAAGAGATTTAAAAAAAGGAGAAAGTTGGCCAATTTATCTAGCTTTGCTGCAGAAGCAGAATAGCATAATGTTCTCCCATTTCAGATCACTTGTCATTCCCTAGAGTATTACTTCTTTGCTTGATGGTTGCCCGGCATGAGATATGGATACAAATCAAATAAAGAATCTTATTCTCAAGAGAATGACATGTGGTCTAAAATGGGAGAACATCACACCAAGGTGAAGAGGTGTATTGTGTTGCATTTACAAAATGCTTTGGGGGACTGGAAAGACTTCTTGTAGTGGTACTTGACCAAACCATATTTCAGTAATCCCCCCTCCCAAAATTTAATTTCACATGTCTGTACTTACTGGTGTTTCATAGACACTAATACTATCTGTAGCCATCCTAGCGAAGTATTTCCCATTATGTGACCATCTGTCGACAAAAATGATTACTATTTACAAATCTTCATTTTGAGATTTGACTCCAAAACTTAACCTGGATCGGGTAAGGCTTCACAAATTTGCAACGTCCCCTGTGATTGGTTAGGTTTAGGGGCGGGGTTGGGAAAAGGTCATTGTTTTCTATTGTTCTACGCGTGTGCATCCTCCAATAGGATCACATCATGCAATTTCATGAAGGACAACCCCCTGGATCACAGGTGATATTACTTACTTGAAGGCAGGCCACTGAGATGTATCTCCACTAAGAAATCCACGTCTCTTTAGTCCTGTTCTTATATCCCAGATTATAATTCCCTAAAAACAATCATAACTAATTTATACAACTCTTTGTTATCAATTTACATCAAACATTGATTCATTCCTGACAAACCTCTGGACCAAAGTCAGAACTTGGCCTGAATTTCATTTCATTGCATAGATTAGTCATAGGGCAGTTTCTATTAATAGTATCAGATACATTCTTCCATGTTCTCAGCACTGTTAGTCAGTAGCAGAACTGGCGTTTGGAATGTTTCATCATTTACTAATACTAATAACCTTATCTTTAAATTTAAATCTAAAAATCTACTAGCTTTAGCTGTTGTATCACAGCGTGGGACAATCACAACAGAGCTAGGCTCCAAACTAGGTGAAAGCCCAAAGACCAAATTAGAATTTAGTAGTTGATTTTTGAAGAGGGAGGAAAACCAGAGAACCCGGAGAAAAACCCTCGAAGCACAGGAGAGAACCAACAAAAATTAAATAAAGCACCTCTAAAGCACCTTACTGAGAAATTAACCAAGAAGACAGGGGACACATATGCAAGTACTATAACATGGATTAGAACTCGATTATCTTTTGAAATAATTAAGTCAGTACACATGTGTGTCAGGGGGACAAGAACCCCTTTTTTTATGGACAATGAATTCTTGAATGACTTTAATCTTAATGCCAATGTAGCGGAAATTTAGAAATATTTAGATTTTAATAATAAATGTATAGTTTTAATATAGTATTGTAACCAAGTTGAAAACTGGTTGATAACATACTGGTTGAAGATTTATTCGAGTTTGTTGTGTTACGTTTGTACTAGCCATATTTGGAATGATGATGTAAGTGATCACGCAACAGTATTCGTAATTTGAAAAATAAATCAGTTCTGCTCCAGATTTTGTGCTGTTTAGTTGTGGTTTTGTTTAGTCCAAGTTTTAGTTTTAGTTTCACTTATTTTCCAGCGACCTATCTTGGAAAAGACCTGCAATGAGTTTCATCATCTCTGCCGTTCAACATCCACTTGGTCACAGTATTATATCAGTGTGAAGAGCTGGACTCGTGTTTTGAGCTATTAATTTATTTTACAAATATGTTTTCATAGATAAATAAGTATATATTATATGGATTTGTTATTTTATATTCATAATCTTTTCTTTTTTGTTTTATAATTATAGCAATATTCTTATCACGTCTCATATTATAATAAATTATTAGTTAATTATTATTGTCAATAAAGTTATTTATATTATTATTTTTACAAAAATTAAAAATTAAATCATTATTCAAGTATTAGAGTGTCAAGTACTTACTGAGGGATCCTCAGAGCTGCTTGGAATGGGACTAAAACTAACTAGGTACCTAGAATGAGAGAATAAACAGTATTCTTACAGTATTCATACAAGTTTTTAGCTAGTTATCTCTTCAGTGTTCTTAGACCTTCATTCAAAGTCTCAACACAAAAATACTTTACTAAGAGGAGTTTCAGATTTGTTTTCCATATTCTCAACACTGAATTCAGCAGCAGAACTGGCATTAGGAATGATTCATCATTAACCTCTTACGCTTAAAGTAAAATGGCAACCTAATTGAAATTCAGAGACAGTGAAAACAAAGTGTGTGTGTCAGCAGACAAAAGTAAGCAAGGTAGTGACATAAATTTTTGATGTGCTGCCACAGTTCGGTGGGATCTGATTGTGAGTCCAAGGATCATACCTACATGTATGACTACAGCAGTAATAGGAGGTGTATTAGAAGTGCATACCGCCCATGTTCCCATAATTGGTATTTAAAATTTTTTTAAAAATTGCCCTAGAAACTCACCTTTCACAGGGTGAGAAATCAATAAGTTGTACCCCAGGGTGACTGAATCTCATAATTCTTTTAAACTCTTCTCCTCCCCAAAGAGCAACACCTTGTCCATGGAATGTCGCCAGGTATGTTCCTTTAGGGGACCACAGGACATATGTCTCTGTCCAGTTCTGTGAATACAGAAAAGCATGCTTTTGGTTCATTTGTTTAGGCTAAACAAAAACATAAGTGTGTTTCCTGTTGCATGAGAAAAATAATTGGGGTTGGTAGGTCAGATCTTTTTTTTTTTTACCAATACAACAGTGGAAATTAGCTTACTGGGAACCCTGTGGTGCATTAGGTTCAGCAGAAATCGGCAAGAAAATTAGGATCAGTCGCACAACAGGAAACAACCTTATTTTTTGTTTGGCCTTATTACTATATTTTGCAAGATTCACCTGGCAAAATATACAACATTTACAATAAGTCTGTAAATAAGGAACTCAGAAGCGTTTTACAGATTTAAAAAGTTTACTTTTTATATAGAAAATACTAGGAAATCATTTTTACATTTTCTCTTTGTTTTAACAGGAAATTGTAAATTCAATCCTGACTGGTTAGGAAGCTTGATTAAGCTTATTTCAATCCTGGTTGTATGAAGAGTATATAGCACAATCATTTGGATAGATCCTTATCCAGGTGATAAAGTGATGCTGTTATCCAATAAATTTATCCACTGGATAGCACTAACTACCCTTCGCAATACTGGGCCCAGAAGATTAAACAAATGCCTATGAATCAGAACAACTTACAGGTCTTTCCTTGACCATCATTGGTTCTTGTGAACTATTCCACAGGATTGAGGTCTTATCTCCATGGATAACGGAATATTGGTCATTACAATCAGGATCTTGTAGCCAGGAACGCAGATTTTCCTAGAATAATATATGGTAAAATGATATTTAGAAAGATCCAAGCTTTGGACTGAAGAATTAGAAAAGAGAGAGTGCTGTATGAAGTTATACACACCGAATTTGAATAACTATCATTTTGCACTAGCTAGCAACTGACTAGCCTCTCGTATATGTGGAAATGACTGGTTGCCATACTCCGATTCAGTGTATAAGGCATAAAGGGATTTGCAGACTAAGAGAGAAGAGCTATGGAAGAAACATGATACATAGTGGAGTATTAAGAAAGCATTAATGACAAACCTGCTGAGTGTATTCCTGCTTTGCTGGAGGTTTCCAATCCTCATGAGGATCTAAGAGTCTGCAAAACAACAAGAAACCCTTTAAGAAATCTTTGGGATATTTTTGACTAAAGAGACCCAAAACCCAAGTCACATGTCATGATGAATCTACAAATCACACCTGAGACTTTGATCCAAGTCTCAACACAAAAATACTTTACTAAGAGGAGTTTCAGATATGTTTTCCATATTCTCAACACTGAATTCAGCAGCAGAACTGGCATTAGGAACGATTCATCATTAACCTCTCCTAGAAGACGTATTCTTGATGTGCAACTACGTGACTCAAAATCCATCAACACATAAATACCAATGACAAAGCCACCATCTTTGTTATTATCAACCAACATGGTGGCTGTGATGTAACATACACCCCAAGAATTCTCAAAAAACAACTTACTTCATAAAGTCCTCAAAATGATTTACAGCAAATACATGATGCTTGTCTAGTTTGTAACCATTAGCCGTCTTGACAGCTCTTGCTGCATCATTGGGATTAGAAAATTCTAGAAACATGTACCTAAAAGAAAAATTTGTAAAGTTTACCACAAAAAGTCAAGGAAAACGACAATCAAAAAATCCTTTTCTTGGATAATAAGATATCAGATATATTCTTCCATATTCTCAGCACTGAAGTTCAGTAGCAGAACTGGCGTTAGGAATATTTCATCATTTGTAGGATAAATAGCAGTGAAAACAACAATATATTCCAGCATTTTTTGATTCTAATTTTTTTGAATAAATTCACATTTTGTTTTACGATTTATGTGGTTCTTTAAAGTAACTTCCAAACCACAAACTAATAATAATGTATTTACAAAAGAACACCAATATAATAACTACACACACACATTAAGGTCTCTGGGTTTTCATTCCTTAAAGTATACAGTGAATATTCTGGTCTCACTTTGGAAACAAATTTAAAATGTTCAGTGATCATAAGACAGAATTCATTTTTAGACTTCAAAATTATACTGGGGAAGGATTTTGTTGTGTGTTTGAGGCATATTTTGGATCAACCTCAAAACAGCTGTTAGCATGCAAACAAAGTAGCATATTCTATAAAACTAATTGAGTAAATGTATTTTAGCATATTACTTAGTTAAGTTACTTAACAAACGTTTTTGAGGCCTAGTGCATCTATTCCCATGAGAATAAAAAGACAAAAAAGTCTGTTAATATAACAAAAGAAACCAAGATCAAATCTTTGGGTAAAGTCAAACAAGATATTGACTGTTACATTATATACATGCAACAATACATTCTTCAAATTCACTAAAAATTTGCCTCCTGGTTGGCTCATTGGATTGTGGGCACTGGACTATCATGCAGGAGATTGCGATTCAAGCCTTGGCTGGACAAACACCCCTAAGTTTTTTAAAATATCTACTTAAGCAGGAAGGTGCTGCCTTTGCTCTGAAATATATACGAATGGTTACACCTTCATCTAGGCTTGAATGACCACAAGTTTATCAACGCTAAGTTGGCAACTTGCACATGTCACCTCTAAATAAAACTGGTTATTATCATTATTATTATTATCATCATCGTCATCATCATCATCATCATTATTCTATTGAGTATTCCTCAATAAAAATCACATTATGAAAGACATTTGTTTTTTTAAATTTCCATTGATCACTCACCCTTTAGTCAATCCATCACTCATCGGATAATACTCTGTTACAATCTTGCCAAATTTAGAGAACACTTTTCTAATGACATTTTTCAATTTTTCACATCTTTCTTGGCCGACAGATGGGATGTTATCTACTACTATTATAGATTCTGTTCCTTCGATCTCCTTGGGTCTCTGGGAGAGTATGTCACCTAGTAGTTCTAACAACAAAAAAACAATATTAATCTATTATTATTGGCTATTATATTTAGTCTATTTAATAAGGGAAGACTATTTTAGAATGAGTGGGGAAAACAGTGGAATAATGGGCGGCATAGTGCTAGTACACTTGCCTCAGGGTTTCTGGTTTGATTCCTAGACTCTGCATCATATGTGAATAGGGTTTGTTAGGTCTCTTCCTTGATCTGAGGGTTTTTCTCCTGGTTCTCAAGTTTTCCTAACTCAACAAAACTTAACAAGCTAAATTCTAATTGATTTGCGAGTTAGCCGTGCTCTATCTTAGATCAGCCCGCAGGTTGTTTTAGGGTTTGATCTGTGAGTTAGTCATGCCCTGACTTTGACCAGCCCAGAGGTTGTTTCAGGGTTCAATGTGTGAGTTAGCCATGCCCTGACTTAGATCAGCCCAGAGGTTGTTTCAGGGTTCAATGTGTGAGTTAGCCATGCCCTGACTTTGATCAGCCCAGAGGTTGTTTCAGGGTTTGATCTGTGAGTTAGCCATGCCCTGACTTAGATCAGCCAAGAGGTTGTTTCAGAATATAATCTGTGAGCTAAGCACAGGTCTCTACCATAACAGTATAAAGCCACTCCCCTTTTAAGCCTGTGTTTAAAGAAACAAATGTCATTGATATCAGCCCAAATAATATATAAATGCACAGCAAAGGATGAGAATAGCATTACTAATAGTTTATGCAGATAAATTAGAATAACATTTAAAAAATATTAGGAAAAAAATAAATCATTAATTTTAGTATTAAAAAATGGGATTAGAGTTCTCTATTTTTGGTTATTTAGGAGATATACCTTTATTACAATATAGTTCTTTAAAACAAGGAATTTTACGAACCCAAATTTGTACGAAACTAGTAGAGTGCTGTCTACAGACTACGTGTATYAATTATGTAAATTCCTCAGAAAATCTATTGAAAAGAAATTTTTTTTAGCAGTTTACTTTGGTCAGTAAGAGATAAACTATTAACAAAATTAATAGAATATTTAACTTCTCAACTAAATATAAGTTGAATTATTTTATGATCAAAAGTTGATTCAAATTTGGAATGAAATTTCACTTATCCCCACGTGATAAAAGACAGGTTTTAGAAAAGAAAGTATTTTTTTGCTTTCTAGTTATATATGGAGCCAAAATACTAAAAAATATGATTGATTGATGATCACAGTATCTTTTGATAGAAAAATTACTTCGAATAAAGCCTTACAAGAGATGAATTTAAGCGAATTAATGTAAGAGAATTTCGAAAGCCGGTCATTGAACTCGCTGAATCTTGTCCACGCAAAACCTTTAATTTTCGTACCTTCATCTGTTATATCGTCTACAAATCCCTCCGGATCATCAAATTCACTATCATCTCCATCTCCGTTGACCATATTTTCATCATTTTCTGGTGTTTTTTCACTATCCACGTCGGACTTCTCGTCCTCGTGGTCTTTCTCGTCCGCCATTTTTACCTTGAATCGAGCCGTGCGGACTTTTGATCGGCGGCAAGACCACATGCGCGTGACGTCACACACAGGAACCCCAACTCCCGCTTCCACTCCATATGAGATTTTCAAAGACGATAATAATAATATAATAATAATAATAATAACAATAGTAGTAGTAATGATAACTAAATGATCAAAAAGTAATAATACAACTTGAGGTTAGAGCGAAAAGCGCTTTGTGACGTTAGGACACAGGAACCCCAACACTTCTTTCTCAATAGAAATAATATATAATAATAATATACAATAATATCTACAGTGCAATTGTTTTTCTCAATATTGAGGACTAAAGATTATTTCTCAAATTTGAAACACCTAATGATATTTATATATTTATAACATTTAAAAGTGTAATTACCATTGGTGGTTAGCAGTCATGTGACATCATGACACAGGGAGCCCAAGAATTCTCTTTCACTCTACTACTAAATGGAGTTGTGCTCTTTTGAAGCACCCCATTTATTATTTAGCATCAAACTATTTAGTCATCAAGATTGCAAGGTTAGTCAAATACAAGTTATTAACTTGTAATAATAATAATAATAATAATTAATTGAAAGGCTTATTGAAGCAATTTAAAACTTGCCCTAAGTTACTTGCCAGGAATGATTCTATTTTTTAGTTGTAAATACAAATTTCTCTTCTTATGCACTTTTACTACACTAACTAGGAGAGAAAAGAATAATACTTAAGGGAATGATGGATTAGCTTGCATAGTCAGAGAAGTTTATGAAGGGAAAGTAATTTAAGGGAGAAGGAAGAGGTGCTACCATTTTTCACTTTTTGACTCAAATGAAAACAAAAAATGGTCTGTCAAAAGACCCATTTTAAAATTCAACATGTGAGTTGAGTGTTGTGTGCATA